GATCCATCCGCCCGCGAAAGAACCCCAGCTATACCCCAAGTAATAAAGTGCGAACTCACCCCAGCTAGTCCTACACACACACGCACTACACCCCACGAATCACCGAAACCCTTGGGTCAGGTATAGTTCCGCCCGTCTGCAGACCGGAACCGCTCCCTAGAGAGCAACCTTCACCAACACACCGCACTAAGGTTCAAAACACAGCCGGGGCAGGAGCTCGGAAAAATGCGACCGCTCTCCACCGTGTCTCGAAGCAGACTTCCCCCAGGCGTCTGGGAAACTATTTCTCCTCGATGGGTGAAGCAACCTCAGCTGGGTGTCCTGCCCCATCGGTTCCTCCTCTCTCAAATTTCCTTTGTCCTCCCGCTCTCAACTTCCAGCTGAAATATATTGATCCTTCTTCCCTCACGGAGATCTCTTTTTTTGGTGGGAAAGCGCTTTTTATTTGGTAAAAAGGGGTTGACAGAATCACAATGTTTGTATCACAAACGAACATCCTGGAGGGACTCAATTATCCTCCATGCGAAGTGTTGCCTCGTCCTGTCGGTCCTGGGTGCGGAGTGAGTCGTCAGAGTATAGCCACGTCTTGTCCTCGCGTGATGTACTACGAAAAACTCGTCGAAAGTCTCCTCGCTGCGGATCATCTTTCGTAGAGTCCTGAGGTCGGTGTTTCTTAGTCTGTCGATGATGTCAACAATCTCCAGACTGCCGCGCTCGATTCTACACCTGAGCTCAACGCGCTTCAGGAACCTTCGCTGTAGCTTCCTCAATTTATCAATGGACCCCTTACGTGTAGGGTTCCATACTGGACTCGCGTACAGAAGTATCGGGTATGACTACTTTTCTCGATCCTCGTACTCCTCGACTTTGAGGGCATCACAGTCCGCGTGGGGGAGATCCGCACGTCAATACCCTGCGGCCTCGTTCGGTCTGGGGTATTCATAACGGTTCTCGTGGACTTAAGCGTTGTTTTCGGTTTCTTCTGATGCTGTCTCCTCGTCGGAACCGGAGGTTTTTCGGTGTCGTCGGACCGGGTCGTGATCCTTGCAGCCGAATCCTCACAAGGCTGGTCTCTGGTGCTGGCAAACACGTCGAGTTCGCCATGACTCTCAAGAGGATTTTGCTGCGCTTCTTTATTGGGTCGCAGCACCTCCAGGAGCTGGTCTATTTCCCGATGTAAGGATTCACAGGACCTGCAAGTAGGATCAGTCGTCGTTCTACGGTCGTCGCATGTCTTAACTTCGTGAGGTTTTGCCATCCTCTTTTCCAAGATGTCGATCCTATCTTGCAGGACCTGCAGCTTGTTGTTAAGTGCTCCCCGATCTAACTTCGGCTGGAGAACGTCTCCGCTCCACTCATTTCTGATGAGCCTGATTTTCTCGCACACTGTGCAGGACTCGGTGCCATCGCTGAAGATCGTAACCGCGTTACATGTTGAACACTTCACTAGAGTCTCGGTCCCATCGACAGTCACGAAATCGTTCCCTGGGACCGGTCTCTGCGGTTGAGTATTTGTAAAAACAGTGTGTCTCGAGTCAGCTTGGTCACCGGACACACGATGCGATGTGTCAACTGTCTGGGTTAGCTGCGATTCACACTTTTCACAGCGGAAATCTCTGTCTTTGGAGCCAGAGGTCCGTCCGTTCTCTGATGCCGGCGGTCCGCATCTTCGGTGGGTCAGTGATTCACATGTTTTACACACGAGCGGTTTGTGATTACCACGGAAAGCGCCGCCGCACTTGACGCACGGAGATTTCATCGGGCCCACCTCTAGCGTTGTCATCGAGAAGACTCACGGCTATCCGAGCTCACTCCCGGCTTGCCCAGGGGGGTAGGAGGGTAGGATGGAAGCGGTGTCGGAAGTCTCGAGCGAAAGCAACGAATTTCGCGGGAGCTCGCCGGCATGCGACCGCACCGGTACAGATCCCACACAGAGCTATCCTCTTCCAGGATGCAGTCTGACTATGGCAGATCTCGGGTTGCGGTACCCTCGAAGATCTCACGAAATTCCATGCCTTTTCTCGAGATACCTATAGCCTTTGTCCTCAATCTCTCTCTGCGCAGTGCGCAGTACCCGACAGCCTTCAAGGATGCTATAGTCCTCCCTCTTTACAAGGGAAAGGGCGATCGTGACAATCCTTCGAACTACCGTCCCATCAGTACTACTCTCTTTCTAGCTAAGCTTCTTGAGAAATGTGTGCTTCATCAACTACATTGCTTCGTCGCGGTGAATGACTCCGTATATCTCTCCTCACCAGCATGGTTTCGTTGGCGGTAGATCGACAGAGTCGGCGCTCCTAGAGATCCTCCAGTCCATCCATGATGCTTGGGACTCTGGGCTCCATGTCGTCGGGGTCTTCCTTGATCTCTCCAAGGCGTTCGATTGTCTAAATCACGCTATACTCCTCAATACGCTTGCTGACCTTGGGTTCGTCAATTCCTCCATTGACTGGTTTAGGTCCTATCTTACTGATCGAAAAATCGTGGTCTCGCTCAATGGCGCCCTGTCTGAACCCTTTGTCGTAAACTGTGGGGTTCCGCAGGGTTCCGTCTTCTCTCTTCATTCTTTATGTCAATGTTATTCTCCTCAAAGCCAACTCGTCTGAGAGGGTCAGAACCATAGCGTTTGCAGATGACACTACTGTGCCTGTTCGGGTTGATCTCAAAAACTTGGCCGACGATATGGCATTGGTAAATACTTGTCTTGCGGCTGTCTTTGACTCCTTCTGTTTTCTTCGCCTCTCAATCAATGCTGATAAAACTAAGCTTCTACACTTTCGTCAGCGTCCCTATATTCCATCACCATCCACTCTGTCTCAGTCGGTCACTTGCCTCGGTTTGGTTAGAGGTCCTAGAGGCCAATCTTTCGTGGCTGAAGTACTCCGTTCAGTTACGTCGAAGGCTTGCATCATACGCTTTTTGCCTCCATAGACTTAGACGTCTGGGACTCCCTCGCAACATTCTTATCTCTGTCCATAGGGCTATTATACGTAGCTCCATCTCCTATTGCTGCACAGTCTGGGGCCTGTCCCCGTCCTCCGCCGTCCTACGGTCAGTTCAGATCGCCCAGAATAATGCGACTAGAGCTATCTATGGACTTCCGCCCCGCTCGTCGGTCTCCCCTCTTCTCCGCTCGCTCTCCTTCTTCAATGTTCGCCAACTCTATACCCACCGCATCGCTCGCCTGGCGTTTCTGTTGATCTACTCTCCTGCGCTTCTCCCTAAGTCGTGCATTTCGGAGTTTGTCACCTCCCTGAGATCGTTGAGAAACCATCGTCTGCGCGTACCACGGGTTGTTCGGTCGTCCTCTAGGGCCACACCTCTGTACAAACTCTCGGATGTTTGGAATAACCTCCCTGCTGATCTTCGAGGAGTTACCCACTACCGTGAATTCAAACGTAAACTGCGTACTTATGTACTATCTAGTCAAAGTGCAGCCTAACCGGGCTTGCGGGTATCCACCCAATTCATCGCTATGTAATAAATCAAATAAATCAAATCTTCATCATCTTCCGTTTCTGCGTCGTTCTCTCCCACGACTGGAATTTCATCGATTTCGAGTACTTTCCACTCGATACCCAGCACTACAGGTTCGAATTCCTTTGAGATTGATTTCAGATGGCATTTATGCATCTGGCTAGAAGAGGTGCGATTATGTAAGCTGAGTCGAGACCAGAGCTGTGTAGTCGTCGACTTTCACCATGCGATCGGGGATCGAATGACGGTGACAAGCTTCTCTCCAGCAACCTCCTATGCCAGTTTCACCGATCTGATGAGAATAGCCAAAGACTGCCGAGATCATACGATCTACAAGGCGGTCGAATAAAATATCTTTTTCAGCGTTTATTGTGGGTATGAAAAAAAGGATGAATCAAATATAATCAGAGATCTTCGACGGTTTCCCTATGAGGCCGATCGTGGCGTTCAGATGTGGGAGATTCTGGCACGGTCTCATAATTGCGTCTGATGCGCTCAGGGACGGGGCGCTTCAGAGCGTATGAACCAAGCGCCAGCACGATGAATGACGATCCAATGAAATAGCCGATCAGCGGCTTAATCCATTTGTAGGGATTCGTGTGAGTCGGTGGTATGGGAGGCGGAGTTGTTGTCGTTGGATGCTTGTGCTTGTTGTATGCATCCCAGATACTCTCGCCGCCCTTAGGTGGCTTCCCAGGTCTGAGACTTACCGTGTCACGCGCTGCCAGGCGTAGGCAGCTGGCCTCTGATTCCAGACAATCGCAAGGAGAGTTGTCGGGATTCGTTTCTGTGATGATGCATGACCGGTTCTCTTCTCTACAATCGAGCTCGCAGTCCACCGAGTAGTTGAAATAGCCGAGACCGGAGTCTACAAGGCTTATCGCGAGGAGGGTTACCGGGAGTCTTGCCGCCATTGAATCCTGAAATTTCGAGCAGTGTATCAAGCTTTTTGAAATCCAAGTTCTTAGCCAGGAAATCTCCGGCGTTGACCTCACTGGGGCAGTATTCGACGTTGACCTCTCCGTTAAGGTATCTTTCTCTGACATAGTAAAATCTCATCTCAACGTGTTTGGCGTCATTGAATCGTTCGGAGGATTCTGTCAGTCGGATCGTAGCCTCGTTGTCTATCAATAGGGTCGGTTTCACCGGGTAGCGGAGTTCCCTTAGGACTTTGGCTGTCCAGATTGCTGCTTTACAAGCCTCTGAGGCAGTGATCAGCTCTGCGACCATGGAGCCGGTGGAAACACAGCTCTGGCGCTGGCTGCACCAGCCAATTGCTCCTCCTCCGAACTTTACCAGGGAGCCAGAAGTGCTCCGTCTCACACATAGCGAAATCTGCGTCGCTGTAGACCTTGAGTTCGCGTGAACCGCCACTAGAGTAAAAGGAACCGTGAGTCTTGGCTCCACTCAAGTATCTCAAGATGTGCAACCCCTGTTTCTACAGCTGTTTCGTTGGGCAATCCAGGTACAACATTGGCAAGAAGCCTACTGCATAGGCCAGGGGCCCGCAACCTTTTTCGTTCCGCGACCCCCTTCGGACGACCATATTGCGTCGCGACCCCCCAAGAAAAACACCGACTTCCAATTCGAGATATATCTTTTTTTTTATCACAACATCTTTCGATTATATTATGGTGCTACTGCGTACAATACTTATTCCTCTGCTTTTAATGTGAGATCTGCTGCTGCTTGTCACGAACTAGCGACTCGAGATCGAGTTGAACATCCGTAACCGCGAGACGAAGTGCGGCATGGACATCCAATCTACTACGTAGCTTTGTCTTTATGATCGAGAGAGAAGAGAAGGTCTCGCAGAGATATGTCGTTGAAAACAATACTAAGAACTGCATGGCTCGAGAGCTTAGACTCGGATACTCCGCGCTCTCGGCCCCCAATAATCCTCCGACGACATCGAGCAAGCAAAGTTCCACAAGATCTTCGGCGACGGTGAACGGTTTCTTGGTTCGGGAGACTCTCAGCGCTATCATGAACGAAGCGTGAAGCAATTTTTTCTCCGTTTTCGACGTGTCTGTAACGAGTTGTCGCTGATTCTCAGATTCCTCCTTTAGTCGCTGGAAGTATCCGAGGGGTTTTTCAGCTATGTGGGCATGCAAGGATTTGAGGTGCCGCGTAAGCATGTTCGGTTTCATCGAGTTATTCGCAAGAACCTGATGGCACACGACACACGAGCGAATCATCACCAGGCGAAGTGGTGAAGCCGAGCTTCAAATATTCGTCTCGATACATCTCTTCTTCCGCTTTGCTCCGTGTTCTTCATTCCCCGTGCTATTCACTGTTCTTTTTCTTTTCGCCTCATGGCTCGGAGCAGCTTGCTTCGGAGAAGCGAGCTGAGCTCGGGGAATTTCAGAGTTTGAAATTTCGTTCACATTTGATCCGAAGAATCCGAAGATACTTTGTTGACCCCGATCCATGTTCCTCGAATCGGAGACTCGATGGTTTCAAGAGACCTTCGAACTACGAAAACTGTAAGGATACCTCTTCCGGATCGCGCACAAGTCAAGAGCGCAAGTCACTGTTTACGGTCGCGCACTGTCTCCTGTGTCCGCCCTCTCCTCATCTCAAAATTCAGCGCGGTGAATTCAAAAAGCCGAGACTTACTCACGGCACGGAATCGAAGAGGAATCGGAGGAAACCTCGGAGCGGAGGCTGGAAAGAACTCGGAGGGGTCCCGCGACCCCCCGGGAGGATCTCCGCGACCCCCTTTGGGGTCGCGACCCCCCGGTTGCGGTCCCCTGGCATAGGCTATATCTGCTCTTGTCGCAATCGCGAGGTACATCAGTTCGCCGACGAGAGAGCGGTACGGCAGTGACACATCGATCTCGCCATCGTAGGCTTGCACTGCTGTCAAGCGGCGTCTTGGCCGGCTTGCAACTCGTCATGCCAAATCTTTCCAACAAGTCGGCAATGTACTTCGACTGATGGATGTGGATAGTTCTGAGGTCTGGGGAGGTGTCTATGTGCAACCCCAAGAAGAATTCCAGTGGTTTGAAGGTGATTTCAAGTGCCTTACCGAGTGCAATTAGGAATTCTTCAGCATCTTCTTTGCATGAGGCTCCCGTAATGCCATCACCGACCTATAGAACTACGGCTTGTATTTTAACCGGCAGATTTTTTAAATATTTCGGCTGATCTTCTGATATCGATCAGCAGTTATTTAACCGACTTGCCTACTAATTTATAGACTTGGCAGCTTTCCAAGCGGCAGTATAGAATCGGCGGCGATGATTAGAAGAAGGGCAGTTCTCTTTAAGCAGGGGCAGACTTTAACTCGCTTTGTGCTGCTTCTCCAAGGAGGGAGCAGGCAGCTTTATTCGAGTGGCAGTCTTCCTTATTGGATCAGCGGTAATTTTTGCGTTAGCGGAGGGGTTTCGCCTTTGAATTCCCCGCCAGAGACAGCGAATGGTTTCCAGCTGTTTCCGAGCAGAGATCATCATGAGTCATCAACGACGATCAACGTTCCGCGCGAACGCGTTGAACGCGAGGATCAACGCTCCGTCATGATTCATGACGCATCTTAAGGTGGAATCCCGCATGTCCCCACTGTCTCAACGCTCTCTAGAGCATGGCGCTATATCGCGAGGATCTACGCTCCGTCATGAATCATGAATCATGACGGAGCGTTGATCCTCGCGATATAGCGCCATGCTCTAGAGAGCGTTGATACAGTGGGGACATGCGGGATTCCACCTTAAGATGCGGCAACGTGTCAAATCGGATTTCGTGATGTTGTGTGCAATACCGGATGTTTTCAATGGTGCATTCATATTTATTCGAACGTCTGTTCACGACGGCGGAAAGAAAGCTATTGAAGAAGACAATGGTTCCTAACGGTGAGCTCTCTTGAAACCTGAACGCGATAAGCTATGAGTCAGACTCTAAGCGGAAACTTTCTAGATCGTGCGGACGAAACGGAAGTGATTGGCGCCTACACATCCGATGGAGAGGAAGCTGCCGAAGTTTCTGCACCACCGTCACGACGCAAATCGAATAAGTGGTGCTTCGCCAAAGAATTCGACGGCCCCGAAGAAGCATTGCGATTCATCCAAGAAGAAAATGTCTGGAGCGTGCGGTTTTCGAAGAAACTTCTCGACGGGAAGAAGACATACTACCGCTGCAACAGGGTGAAAAAACGCGAGCAGACTTGCGCAGCCGGTCTCTCCCTGTTGTATTGCAATACATCGCTAAAAGTTGAACTTTACCGAACGGAAAGCCCGCATACCTGCTTTAATTCGGTTCGTCACGGTCTGAGCGGGGAAGTCAAACTTAGAATCAAGGAATTCCTGGATCTGGGTATGAAGCCGAAAAAAATCGTTGAAAGGCTCCACGATGAGGGTCTCACGGGAGTCAAACGCACGCAAGTGTATAGTTTTCTCAGCAAGGCGAGAAGGAATCACCTAGGTCCGGCGACAATCAGCTTAGGCGACCTGGAAGCTTGGTGTGTGGACAAATCGGTCAGACCTTCCGCTCTCGACGAAGCCTTCGTCTTCGCTCATGACTTCGAGGACGATGATGGTGACGACGGCGAGCTTTGTTTCAGACTTTCGATATCCACCCCTCGATTGCTGCAGCATGCCGCAAGAGCCAGTCATCTCGCCGTGGACGCCACATACAAGCTCAACTGGCAAGGTTATCCAGTTTTGATTGTTGGCACCACAGATCTCGATAGACACTTCCATCCGCTGAGCTTATCCATCTGCGCCAACGAGCGTAAAGACACGTTCGAATTCATCCTGAGTTCGCTGAAGAGGGAAGTTCCTGACCTATCCCCTTCACATCTCATTGCCGACGCCTCTCAAGCAATCCGCGAAGCTTTCAAGCAAGTTTTTGGGGATGACTGCTCTCTTCTGATGTGTTGGGCCCATGCCTTTCGGAATATCTCAAAGCATGTGCATCTCGTACAAGGTTCGAAGGATGAGGTACTCGATGGAATACGATCTCTCCAGCTTTCTCCAGACGCGGAGACTTTCGCGAAAGGTGTGGATCTATTCATCAAGAAGTATCAGACAAATGAGAGCTCATTCATAGAGTACATGAATCAGATGTGGTTCAGCACCCACAGTCTTTGGTACGAAGGCGCCTCCAATCTCCTACCGTCAACGAACAACGGACTCGAGTCGTTCAACAACGTAATCAAAAAAAAAAAACTTTTTCGGGCTGATCCACACAGCCAAGGTTTAACGTCCCGGGTACTGTTATTCACATTGCTTCCGAGGACGGATCCATAGAGCAAATGTACCCAGGAGGATCAAGGCCGAGTACCTGCATATTTTTCCGGCAGCAGGGATCGAACCCACACCGCCTCCCGCGCGAGCGGCGTCGTTGCGGCTATGCACGTTTGCACGACGTCAACAACGTAATCAAAAAAGAGGAAACCCTCCGTGAACGCATGCCAGTCGGACAGTTCGCCAATCAGTGTCTGCTCTCAGCTGCGAGATGGTCGAAACAATACACTCTTGGCAAGACCATAACGGTGACCCCAACGATCAGCCTCAGAGACTGGACGGCTGCATATCAATGGGCCAAGAGCCCGAAACAGGTCCGATCGAGAAGAAACGGAACGCTAACGGAGTACTTTTGTCCCTCCGGATCGACGGTTTCGGTGTCAGAAAGCGACATTCGACGAATGAAGAATCGCGCATGGGGGAGTTTCGACAACTTCCAGAGGCATGCTTCCTCGGCCTGGGTCGTTAGAATGACAGGTGAGGAGTGGAAGGAGGCACGCTGCTCCTGTCCATGCTTTCTCAAGGAATACAAATGCAAGCACGCTCTTGGTATGTCTATTCGTCGGCAGCTAGTCCGCCCGCCACCCGAAGCTAAGCAGATTCCTCTGGGTCAGAAACGGAAGCCAGGTAGACCGAAGAGGGCAACTCGCGCTCTCCTCGTCGACTAGGGTAGAAGAAGCATGAGCTTCTCTCCTTGCATATCTAACTGCCAGTCTCGTTGTCGAAGACTGCCCGACTCCTCGTGAATAACTGCCAGCTTTGTAAAATAAACTTGTACGAATTGAAAAAAAGACTGCTAGTCCTAAGTAATAAAACTGCCGAAGTTGTGAAATTTCTGCCCGAAATCATTTTCTTAACTGCCCGATCGAGGAACTGCTGAATCTATAATTCGAACCGCCCAGAATATTAATCCCCTAGAACTACCACAAGTCGTTTCGGTCCCTCGGAGAAAAACATGCACGGGTCCGAGGTGCTCTGGGTCAATCC